GATAGATAGATAGATAGATAGATAGATAGATAGATAGATGATAGATAGATAGATAGATAGATAGATAGATAGATAGATAGATAGATATAAAAGAAGAAGAAAGAGTACATGAAGTTATCAGAACAAAAGTGATGGGGAGATATGGGAGGAGTTAGGAAGAAGTGGGCATGGATTTGATCAAAACACCTTATATGCATGCATGAAATTCTCAAAAAATTATTTATTTTTTTTTTTAAAGAAAGGTGTAAAGTTACATCTAACTGCAGCAGGGACCCTCTGGCCTGCAAAGTCTAAAATGCTGACTGCTGTTGACAAAGGCATTGTCTCATATGCTTATTGGACAAATGTGCTCCTTGCCTATGAAATACAGGTTCATGACTTTTGCATTTTTTTCCTGCTATTTGTCACGTTTGCAGGAATTACAAGGAATTTTTACAGAGTCTTGATCTTAACTAGTCCCACATCAGCCTCCTGTGCTGGATGTGCCCTCCCAGTGAGCATCAAGTCTGCTCTTTCTTCAAAGCCGAGCCATCAGCCTGCAACTGACTGGCCAAATCCATCTTTGTATGACATCTGAGCTAAGCATGGTTTTTACATGTTTTAACAGTTGTGAAAACAAAGTTACTGAGGCTGGAGAGATGGCTCAGTGGTTAAGAGCCTCAGTTGCTCCTGCAGAGGACCTGAGTTCAATTCCCAGCACCCACATGCTGGCTGACAACCATCTGTAACTCCAGGTCCAGAGGATCTGATGCCCTTTTTCTGACCTCCACCAGCACTGCACAACACAGGTGCATTTACTTACATGCAGGAAATACACTCATACACATAAAATAAAAATAATAAAAAATATTAAAAGAAAAAAGTTATTAAAACAAACGATCTGAAACCCAAAAATATTTATTAGCATATCATTTTCCTAACTTAAAGCATATGTTGATGAACATAATTTCTTGATTTAGTAAACTTTCAATTTTTTCGGTGTCTTTTTTAAAAAAATCCTTGTTTAGATACATAAAGAGCTTCTATTTTACACACAAAAAAGAGAATTTCCTACATCAATGTCATCTTTGCATCATTTCAACCTCCTCCTTCCTGCTCCAGCCCTCCCACGTTCCTGTCACTCTCTCATCTCTTCTCCTCTTCAGTGATTATGATTGTTACACGTACATACATTCATTTACAAGCATTTTAACTTATTTGGAGTTACTTTTTCATGTTAATAGTTCAAGTAAACTATTTTGGGGGGCTTAACTTTATGTACTCTGAGCGTGTTTAGTGTATTTTTGTTCTGAACCTTAAAGAGATATGCTAGTTTATCCTTATCTTGTAGATCCTGTGTGGTGAGTAGATGACTGATTTTCAAGTGGGGTGTTTCACATGGTGTTGGACAATACGTAGGTAGAATTCTCATTTAAATTTCAGTGTTTGGCTTGGGATCATTAAGTATGTCAGACTTAAGGGTGCATTCCAACACAGCAGACAGTCGAGCAAACAGTACAGAGTATGTAAGAGTTAGGGTCCCACATTCAAGAGTTTAGGGAAAGGGATGTGAAAGAAAGAGTGGCCCAATTTGGGATTTTCAAGAAAGAAATTAAGAGGGAGAGAGGGGTAAGATAGGGTAATAGAGTAAATATGATCAAAGTATATGCGTGTATGGAGATGCCATAATGAAACCCCTTACCTTGTACAACCAATATACACTAATTTTTAAAAAGTAAGAAAACAGCCTGTTGAATAGAGAGCTACGCAAGTCCCAAAGAACTCTCTGATGATGTGAGCTTGTCACAAGGGAGGACAGGCATGAAGACAGCAGATGGGGTGGCGAGTCACACACAGGGCTGTGACACCTGGCAGACAGCATCAGAGGAAAGATGGGGTGGCCTAAAGGGAGATCATTTGGTAAATGGGGAAACAACGGGGGATCATGTTCCATCACATGAAGTTTTATTTCATTTTCTGGGTCTTCATGCAGGTACATCCAATGGAGAAAGAAAACCAAACCAGTGTCTCTGAATTTCTGCTCCTGGGCTTCTCGGGTTGGCCAGGGCACCAGGTGCTTCTCTTCACACTCTTTCTGTGTCTCTATTTAATGGGGCTGTTTGGAAACTTCCTCATCTTGCTGGCCATTGCTTCCAACCATCACCTCCACATGCCCATGTATTTCTTCCTTGCCAATCTAGCCTTGGTGGACCTCTGCCTTCCTTCAGCTACAGTCCCCCAGATGCTACTAAACATTCAAACCCAGTCTCAGTCCATCTCCTACCCCAGATGCCTGGCTCAGATGTATTTCTGTGTGATGTTTGCCAACATGGACAACTTCCTCCTCACAGTGATGGCATATGACCGGTACGTGGCCATCTGTCACCCTTTGCACTACTCCACCATCATGACTTGGCGCCTCTGCACCTCTCTGGTAGCCATACCTTGGGTCATTGCCACTTTGAACCCTCTCTTACACACTCTCATGATGGCCCGACTGCACTTCTGCTCTGAAAATGTCATCCACCATTTCTTCTGTGACATCAACTCTCTCCTCCCTCTCTCTTGTTCTGACACCAGTCTTAATCAGTTGATGGTTCTGTCTGTGGTGGGACTGATCTTTGTGGTACCTTCAGTGTGCATCTTGGCATCTTATGGTCGCATTGCCTCCACCGTGATGAAAATTCCTTCTGCTCAAGGAAAACGCAAGGCTTTCTCCACCTGTGGATCCCACCTCACCTTGGTTATTCTTTTCTATGGAGCCATCACAGGGATCTACATGAGCCCTTCATCAAACCATTCAACTGAAAAAGACTCAGCTGCATCCCTGATTTTCATGGTTGTAGCTCCTGTACTGAACCCCTTCATTTACAGCTTAAGGAACAGTGAGTTGAAGGCAGCTTTAAAGAAGACTCTTGGCCAGAGCAGAATCTTTTCCCAGTGATTTCTACTACTTGAAAAGAGCCCAACAAGAGAGAAATCCTACTGAAATCATGATTTTTTTTTTTTTGTCTTTTTAAGACCAGGTCTCCCTGTAGCCCCAGCTGGAACACACTGTGTAGACCAAGCTGGCTTCAATGGGACAGGGATCTGCCTGACTCTGCCTCCCAAGGGCTGGGATTAAAGGCATTCATCACCACGCCCAGCTGAAATCATGATTTTTATTCTCAATGAAAAGGCCATCATTAAACACTTAATGAAGCTTGTCGCTGACCTCAATTTGCTACAAATTCTAAAAATGACAATCACAGATCTCATCCCTTTGAGCTCTCTAAGATTTTATTGATGAAGACAAATATTCAGATCTTAGAGTCCTAAAAAAACAGAATAAAATGTAAAACCAACATTTGAATCTATCATTAAAACAGCCCAAAGTTCCAGGTATGGTGGTACACATCTGTAATCCCAGCACTCTGGAGGCACCTCTATGAAAAACAGAAAGCACATGGTCTAAGCCCAGTGTAGTGGCACAGGCCTGCAATTTAAGCTACTTGGGAGGCTGAGGCAGAAGGATTGCACATTCGAGACCTCCCAGGGCTACAGAGTGAGTTCAAGGTCAGCCTAGGCAACTTGTGAGAGATCTTGTCTCCAGTTTCTGAAAAAGAAAAAAAATCAACTTATGAATTGATTGATTTGGAATTCATATATGACTTAACTGGACACACAAAGATCCCCAGACCCCTAACACTCTGCCTTTTCTCTATGTCATATAAATCCTCTATTTTAAGTTATACCATGAACTGTAAAATTATATGCTCAATTATTTCCATGTGTTGTAGAGACTGAAAGACAGAAATGGATTAAAAAATAGAGTTGGGTGGTTCATAAAACTGCTGCAAGTCTCTGCACTCAGAAGGCAGAAGCAACCAGATCTCTATGAGTTTCAGGCATCCTGGTCTACATAGAGAATTCCAGGTCAGCCAGGGCTATGTAGTTTGGGGCCTCCCAGTTCCTCCCCCTAGCAAGAAGTTGTTTCTTCCATTGCCAAGAGTGCTGCTGGCTGATTGCTATCTCTGACAGCCCTCGGCATTGCTAACTGCAAAGGAAAATATTGATGAATTTGTCCAAATTCAAATCAACAACCTCAGTTCATCAAAATAACCCATCAAGAAGGCAAAAGAAAGTGCTGCTTCCTTTCCAACTTGGGCCCAGCAGAACAGCTTCCGCAAAGAAGAAGGGCTGTTCTGCCATCAACTAGGTGGTGACCCAGGAACATACCATCAAGAGTCACAAGTGCGTCCATGGAGTGGGCTTCAAGAAACGTGCCTCTCAGCACTCAAAGAAATCTTGAAATTCGCCATGAAGGAGATGGGAACTCCAGATGTGCACACTGATACCAGGCTCAACAAAGCTGTCTGGGCCAAAGGAATGTTCCATATCAAATCCATGTTCACTTGTCCAGAAAACGTAATGAGGATGAGGATTTGCCGAACAGGCTGTATACTTTGGTAACCTATGTCCCTGTTACTACATTAAAAAATCTACAGTCAATGTGGATGAGAACTGATGGCTGACAGTCTAAGTTATAAAACTGCAAATAATAAAGTGCTATAAGTTGGCAGAAAGAGTTTGCAACATATAAAACCAACAAAAATGGAATGTGTACTCATGCTAGCAAAGCATGGTGACTCATACCAGCAATCTTAGCACTAGAGAGGCTGAAGAAGGAGCATCGGGAGGTTGGAGTGAGCTTGGAGGGCAGCCTGAGCTATATGAGGCCCTATGTCAAATAAATTATACATATATCCATATATAATGTATATTCATACAAATCATTATGAAAAGTTCAAAGAACAGAAATATGAACAAAAGATGTAAAGTTATCCCATAGTAAAGGAAATAGATCAGCAAGAAATATTTTTGAAGGTTTTTTTTTAGGACTCTGTGTGTGTGTGTGTGTGTGTGTGTGTGTGTGTCTGTGTGTGTCTGTGTGTGTCTGTGAATATGAGTACAGGTGCCCTCAGAGGCCAGAGGCCAGAAGAGGGTGTTGGATCCCCTGGAGCTGGTGGAGTTACAGGGAAATATGAGTCTCTTGATGTGGGTGCTGAGAACCAAACTCAGATCCTTTGCAAGAATAGCAAGTGCCCTTGACCAGTGCCATCTCACCAACCCCAGTACAAAATATTTTCAATGTTCAGTTTCATTAGTAATCAGAATTATATAAAGCTAACATGTTATACTCATTTAATTGGCAAAATTTTAAGTCTTTCAAACAAATTGTTGAAGAGAGTATTCACAAACAAGATTGCATAAATATGGGTGTGGGGGCAAACATCTTGTAAGAGTTTGACATTATTTTACAAGGGTTGACACATTCATATATGCTCCACCAAGCAGGTCCACTCCTTGGAGAAATATTTACACATACATGACAAAAAGATTCATAAAAACACCTGTTTTGTACAGACTGGAAAATTATAAGGGGTCTGCTTCTGGTTCTGAATGAGTTACTTTATTAATTACATAGTAAGCCAAAGTGAAAAACAAATACCAAGTAGCAGATATCAAAATATCTTCAAATCAGGAGTTTACAGCACCCAGCAAAGAAGACTGGAGTAGCCTGATTTAAAGAACAAACTAAAGTAACGTCTTCAAATCATGGACTTACAAACATCCTGCAGAAGTCAACTGGGGAAGCTGAGGCAGTCAGCTGGAGTTCCTGATGGAGCTTCCTCTTCATGAACGAGCTTCCAGCTTCCTGGCTTTTTTTTTTTTTTTTAAGTTTATTTTATTTTTTTAATTTTTTTTTAAATTTAATAACCACATGATTAGAAGAAGCATTTCATTACACCTTTAACATATTCAGTAATACACTCCAGAGCAAG